TGCAGCCCTGAGAAAGCAGAACAAGCTGGTTAGCTAGTCATGTAGGGGAACTCAAATTCTGGGGTCAATTGAGAGACCCTGCCTCAAAGAAAAATGTTCAGAACGCTCAAGGAAGACTCTGAATGTCAACCACCTGCACACATACGTGCGCCCACTCATATGTGAACATGCATACATAACATGCACACCACATGCAAAAATGATACTGAATAGTGATCCTAAAAGAAAAAATCAAGAACACATAGTTATCGCTGAGGTCAAGGGGAAGAGAACATCAGGGAAGGGAAGGATTCAAAGTGCAAATGCCTCACAAATGGACAAAAAAACTATTTTAAACTTTGAAGTGATCCCTAGATATTCCACTTTTAGCACTAGCTGGGAATTGATGTTCTGTTTTTGTTTATTTGGTTGTTTTGTTTTGTTTTTCAGACAGATTCTCCCTATAGCCCCAGCTGGCCTGGAACTTGCTATGTAGACCAGGCTGGCCTCGAGCTCACAGAGATATACCTGCTTTGGCCTTCTGAGTGCTGGGATTAAAGGAGTGTACCAACATGCCTGGTTTTTTTTTTTGGCGGGGGGGACTTGATATTCTGAATGACTGATTTTACAATGATTCAATTTAATCCCTCCAGGAGACAGTTTGTATCATGAAAGAATGCAAGGAAAGTTTAGAAAGGACACTTGGCCTGTGCATATCTTGCACCTGTATCATACTTCATCTTTTTACCATCTGCCTTTCCCCACTACACCTGAACTTTGCTTGAGGGAAGGTGATTTCCTCAAGTATTCCTAGCACCAGTATGTGGTCCATGTGTGGATATGTGGTCTAGAGAAGTGGAGTATCTCTTCTGGAAGAATGAAGTTGAGCAGCAGAGGATGGTGGGTCAGGTTGTATACTTATGAGTGATGAAAAAACTATGAACTAATAGAGTTGAACTCTTTGAGCTGACTGTTGTCCCTCTGTGGGTGTAGTAGTCTAAATCGATTCACCATGGAATTACATAGTGTAGAAAACTATAAAATTAAACATGAGGGCTGGAAAGATGGCTCAGCAGTTAAGAACACTGTTCGTGCAGAAGACCTGGGTTCAAATCCCAGCACCCACATGGCACCTAACATAACTCCAGTTCTAGGGGATCCGACAGCCTCTTCTGTAGGCATTGCACGACATGGGTGCACTTACCTACATGCAGGCAATACATGCATACACATAAAAATAAATAAAATATTTTAAACAACTAAACATTTAATTAGGAAATTGTTTATATAGCCTGCTCTTTCAACAGATAAATGTGATATGCTGTGATATAATATTCTGTTGAATTCTCCTCATTTTTACCATATTCAGTGATGTTTGGGCAGGTTTGTTGATAATTGTTAGTAATTGTCAGCATGCTTGCTATTTCAGTCAACTCCTGAGGACTAGGTTGTGAGGTGTTGCTGATCTATCATGGAGAGGCATCCTCATTTTCAGCTGGTGCTTTAATAAGTGCAAAGCATGTTTATTTCTGTAATTGCTCATCAGTGGCTTAAATTTATATTGTACCTCAAAGGTAGGTGATGTTGAAAAGAAATCAGGCTGGGCATGGTGGAGCATGCCCTTTAATCCTAGCACTCAAGAGGCAGGCTGGCAGGCAGAGCTCTGTGAGATCAAGGCCAGCCTGGTCTATATAGTGAGTTCCAAGTGGACTGGGGCTAGGGAGGCCCTGTCAAAAAAACAAACAAACAAAAAGAATAGCAAATGTTTTAGGGGGCTGTAGAGATGACTCAGCAGTTAAGAGCACTGGCTCCTCTGGCAGAGGATCCAGATTTGGTTTCCAGCATCCACATGGCAGCTAACAAGTGCTGGTAACTCTGGTTCCGGGGGATCTGATGCCTTCTTCCGACCCCCAGAGGCACTGCATGACATGGGTGTTACATATATGCAACAATATACTCCTACACATAAAATAAAAAAAATATAAATTTCTTTAATATTTAAAAAGAGAAAAATCAGAAAAGGGGAAAGGGACAGGGAGGGAGAGAGTGAGAGACGAGAGACAGAAATCTTTGCCACTGGAACAAATCCATTATATAACTTAGTTGTCTGTGTCTGACCTCTGCAACTTTTCCATGTTACCAAATTGTGCCCCCATGTGTTCATCTGTATTTTGAAATAGGAACATTTGTTAAGACTAAATTGCTAAGAAATTTTTATATCTAAAATAAAGTTTTAAAAGCTTACTGAAAAAAAGAAAGTGAGGGGACTGGAGAGATGGCTCAGCAATGAAGAGCACTGGATGCTCTTGCAGAGGACCCAGATTCGGTTCCCAGCATCTACATGGTGGCTAACAACCATCCATAACTCCAGTTCCAGGGGATCCGATGCTCTCTTCTGACCTCTGAGGACATTACACAACTTGGGTGCACTTACAAACATGCAGTCAGTAGATTCATACACATGAAAATAATAAGTACAATATTTAAAGAATATATTTAAAACGAAAGAAAGTGAGATGACTTAGAAAGAAACTCCCTGTGGTGAAGGTTTGGCATTTCCAGGGCAGCTTTATTTATTTGCTTCAGTTCAGCTTTTAGTTTTTTCCTACAGTGGATATGGCTTCATCTAGCTGTAAAAAGTCAGTTTTGTAGGAAGGATTGGGGGCATACACTTGTAACCTAATGAGTCAGGAGGCTGAGACAAGGAAGATCCTTGGCAGTTCAAGGCCAGCCTAGGCTACAGAGTGAGACTCTTCCCCAGAGAAGCAGGTAGAGGCATCCGGTTCTGTGGTAAATCATATTCTAAGGAAAGTGAAATGTGGCAAGAATGATTTTTAAAAAGTATTTGTTTTCTTTGAGAATTTCATGTAATATATTTTGTTCATATTTGAACTCTCCCATCTCCCCTTAGATCTTCCCTGCCCCCACTTTGAATCCTCTATTAAAATTTTGTGTTCCCCAACACCCCTGGAAGGTGGTCAACCTATTAAGGCTCACAGCCTTAGAACTGCCTCTCTCCTCACAGCTGCAAGTTGCACAGTTGTTTAGCTGGGGTGGGGCTTTGTGCCTACGTCCCCTGTCCATGCAGGGATTATGTCTGGCATAAGCTTGCACAGGAACTGCGCACAACCACTGGGGTTCATGTGCTCCAGTGCCCTGTTGTGTCCAGAAAACACTGTTTTTATCATGGCATAGCAGGCATTTTAGGGACTGATTGTTGTAGAAATGGAAGATGGTTTATTGGGTTTTTGTAAGGCTGCAAGAAAAGCTGAATGAAAACACCTGAGTTTTTATAAGACTTAGAATTCTTCTTTATACTAGTATATTACCTTTTTGAAAGCTATTTTATTGAAATCAGCTCTTGTTTTGTTTTGAGAGGGCCAGGTGCCTGCATCTGGTCAGCTGATTGGTTGTCCTTCCTTTTTGAAGCAGCAACTTCTTGAACCCTAGCTGTGGCCACCCATGCTGGCCCTGGCTGCTGCCATAAGCAACAGTTAGCACATTGTTTCACTTAAAGGCTTGCAGTTGAAAGAACAGCATGCAAAGTTCTGGAATGTAAGGGGAAATCACAGTCTGACTGTAGAAGTATCTAGAAAGCTTGAAAGCCAAGTTTAATTAGAGAGCAGTGCAAAATCATTATCCTTTTCACAAAACCTGGAAGAGGAGTGCAGATGAAAACAATGGGCATTTATCTGACAGGCTGACTGGACCTTGCCTGCAGTAGCCCCGCAGTCTGCAGGCAGTGAGCATTTTTTGAAACACCCCTAAATGTTCAAGCTTTAAATAGCAACGAATCTCCTAAACCAATGCTGAGTGCTGCAGGAGGAATGAGAGCCTGCTGCCTTGGAGGCAGGAAGCTGACTAGCGAGATGCTTAATTATCTTGGAAGTAAGTGCTTGTTACCATTGAGTGCAGCATGCGGTGATCGGTCCTCCTCGGTGTCAGAGCGTGATTTGTAGACAATGCCGCCCTGTCAGCTCAGTGCTGGTTCAGCAGCATCTTTCCAAACATGTATCTGGCAAGATTTTAAAGGCCACCTCTTGTGTAATTTTTGGAGTCTTGGAAGAGGATCCTCTGCCTCTCTTCTCAGGATGTACGCAACCATGCAGGATTCTGCACTCAGACTCGGTGCCTGCTGTCTCCTGCCTGACGTGCTCATGAGGAAGTTCGTCTTCCTGCCCATCACCTGGAAGGATACTAGCAGTTCTCTGTAATCTGGTGGGGGACATGGAGAGGGCTGCCCAGAGCAACATTTTGTTTCTGCCTTCGTCATAAATTAGCGCTGATGGGGTGGAGGAGGTTGCACTGCTTACAAAAATACAGGCATTCTGTGAATTAGCAAAAAGACTTCCAGCTCTGAGAGTAGATGAAAGTCAGGAGAGCTTGGGAGAAGGTGGTGAGTGCTGGGTTCATTCTGCAGTGTTCTTCATTTGGGTAAGTAATAAAGTCAAGGAAAATGCAGAAGACAGCTACTGTGTAATGGCTTCGGGAAAGCCTGCTTACTTTGTCTGTGCTGTATGTGTTTGCTCTTGCCAACTCCGGTAAGCCTTGGTAAGGAAACAGTACTGATTTGAAATAGGAAAGGAATTAAAAAGTGAGTGTTGCAGCATAATCAATAAAATCATGTTCAGTTTTTACTGGTCTTAAAACCCTGCCTTGCATTGCTCTAATTATCTGGTTGGTTTTGTCTCAAGCTTCTGGTCAGCACAGTGGCTCACATTATTAGAGGTTATGGAAGCAAAATTCTGTGCTTGCGGTTGGAAGACTGAAGCTCCAGAACCAGCTGGTTCCCCTCTGGGTTTTCTGAAACAATTCAGCTAAACTGAAGTGTTAATAGCCCCTTTTTCAGGGTTTTATTAACTGGTTTTACCTTTTCTCTTTCATACCTGCTTTATTAAAAATGTGGATTGTAGAACAGTGCCCCCACATACAGTGTTGAGTCCCTTTTAATGATTCTGGCAGTTGTGTATTAATTTTACATGTGTTTGTCAAGTGCTAATTCAGATTGTCCCCTCTTTCAGAGGAAGCATGGGATTATGGCAATCACAGAATCCCAGTGAGACAAGTTCTGTTCCGTTTTCTCTGAAAGAAAGCCGTCTGTTAAAGTGAAGCCAAGGAACTGTTGTGGATTACAATGCTTGGAAGATCTGGATTTTCAGTAATCTGAAAATAAGGTATCATTTAACCTTTCAAATGAAAAAGCTGAAGACCTTACCACGACTGCTGTATTTTGTGGAAGCCATTCTCTGAAACAGAAGTGCATGTTTAAAATACAGATATGGTGATCCTTTCTGCAGGGATTTAAGTCTAATTTCTTTCACACCATGACCAGCTTGAAGCGGTCACAGACAGAAAGGCCTGTCGCCACTGACAGAGCCTCTGTTGTCAGCACAGATGGCACCCCCAAAGTCCACACTGATGATTTCTACATGCGTCGTTTCCGGTCCCAAAATGGCAGCTTAGGATCATCAGTCATGGCTCCGGTAGGGCCCCCTCGAAGTGAAGGTCCTCACCATATAACCTCAACCCCTGGAGTCCCCAAGATGGGGGTTAGGGCAAGAATTGCAGATTGGCCTCCAAGAAAGGAAAACATAAAAGAATCTAGCCGCTCAAGCCAGGAAATAGAAACCTCAAGTTGCCTTGAGAGCCTGTCCTCCAAAAGCAGTCCTGTGAGTCAGGGGAGTTCTGTTAGCCTCAATTCCAATGACTCAGCCATGCTGAAGAGCATACAGAACACACTGAAGAGCAAGACCCGACCGGCGGAGAACATGGACTCCAGATTCCTCATGCCTGAAGCCTATCCCAGCTCCCCCAGGAAAGCCCTTCGCAGAATACGGCAGCGGAGCAACAGCGACATCACCATAAGTGAGCTTGATGTGGATAGTTTTGATGAATGTATCTCCCCCACCTACAAGACGGGGCCATCACTGCACAGGGAATATGGTAGCACGTCTTCAATCGACAAGCAGGGAACATCCGGAGAGAGCTTCTTCGATTTGTTAAAGGGCTACAAAGATGACAAATCTGATCGAGGTCCAACTCCAACCAAGCTCAGTGACTTCCTCATCACTGGTGGGGGCAAGGGGTCCGGTTTTTCCTTGGATGTGATTGATGGACCCATCTCACAGAGAGAGAACCTCAGGCTTTTCAAGGAAAGGGAAAAACCACTCAAGCGGCGTTCCAAGTCTGAAACTGGAGACTCATCCATTTTTCGTAAATTACGCAATGCCAAAGGTGAAGAACTTGGGAAGTCTTCAGACCTTGAAGACAACCGCTCAGAAGACTCTTCGAGGCCCTGGACGTGTCCAAAGTGCTTTGCCCACTACGATGTCCAGAGCATATTATTTGACTTGAACGAGGCAATTATGAACAGGCACAACGTTATAAAGAGGAGAAACACTACCACGGGAGCATCAGCGGCTGCTGTGGCTTCCTTGGTCTCCGGACCTTTGTCTCACTCAGCTAGCTTCAGCTCCCCCATGGGCAGCACGGAGGACCTGAATTCCAAAGGAAGCCTTGGCATGGACCAGGGAGACGACAAAAGCAATGAACTCGTCCTGAGCTGTCCTTATTTTCGGAATGAGATTGGTGGAGAGGGTGAGAGGAAAATCAGCCTGTCAAAGTCAAATTCTGGCTCCTTTAGTGGGTGTGAAAGTGCCTCCTTTGAGTCCACCCTCAGCTCGCATTGCACAAATGCGGGAGTGGCGGTGCTCGAAGTGCCCAAGGAAAACTTGGTTTTGCATCTCGACAGAGTGAAAAGATACATCGTGGAACACGTGGATCTTGGTGCATACTATTACAGGAAGTTCTTCTACCAGAAGGGTGAGTAAACCACATTTATTTCTAAAATGTTTATCTTGCTCTACTCTGAAAGATGGCAGAACACTGTGTAGTAAATGTTCTAGCAGTATGGTAGGAGACTGGTGTCAATTTCTTGTCTTTCTTGGTGGTAAAATATTTAAATATCTTTTTGTTATAATTAGTTTCTTTGTGGTTTTTTGTAGTTATTTTCCCCTTTTGGGTATTGAAATGTCTTGTGAATTAAATAGCAGATATTTTTGTTTTTTATAATTTCAAACCTGTTTGAGTGAGTGAAATAGTCTGTTGTGTTGATTTGATGTGTCATCTTTAGGGACAAATATGTAAAAAAAATTTTTAAATACTTTAAATATAATATTTTTAGGATGGCAAAACCACTTTATTGCTGTGGTCCATTTTTTTTGTTTTTGTTTTGGCCTTTCTCTTTGAATCTTCACCGCTTCCATCAGCCAGTGAAGTTACACTAGATTGTTATCCATTTCATAGGAACTTTGCTGATAATGAGCTACATTTTTTGACCAAAATCTCAAAGCTAGGGTGTCTCAGAGGCAAGAATTGAGTCTTCATTTTGAGTAGAAAAGGCACTAAAGAGAGGCGCACCCTAAACGTGTAGGCACCTTGCTTCCTCTCTATTCTTTTCTTGGAGGGGATGGGCTGAAAAAAGAGTGAGTGAGTGAGTGAGTGAGTGAGCGTGCGTGCGTGCGTGTGTGTGTGTGTGTGTGTGTGTGTGTGTGTGTGTGTGTAGCTGAGATTTTACAGTCTTATCCCACAGTTTTAAGAAAAGCATTATGATTTATTGAAAAAAAATAGGTAATTGAACTCTTAACTTTCTAAGTGTTTCTCTCTTAATAGCATTACCATTGAGGGCTGAGTCTGTCATCCAGGTACCTGAACAGGAAATGCATTGATTATTACCAAGGGAGAACATCCACTGTGGACAGCAATCTGCAGCCAGGTGGAGAGGCCCGTGCTGGGGGCTTCTTGCCCCTAAACTACCCCAGTAATGTTTGGGTTGTCTGCTGCCGTCGTAGTGCTTTAAATGTTGCCTAGATTTGTTTTTCTGAGTGAAGTTTAATCTCAGATCCAGAACTTATTCTAGCTTTATGACCTGGTTCGCTTTAGAATCCTAACGTTTTTAAGGCTATTTTAGGCTAGGCCCCATTGAAGGAGGTTTCTTGGCAAAAGGACTCTTGTCTCATTACTCAGTGTCCATGTGTCTTCTCAGGCCTAAGCGTGTACGCCACAGGTTCTGGAAGCAGTACAGTGCAACAGGTTGTTTTTTTAGGGTTGAATGTTAATTGACCTTACTTAACCACTTCAGAGTATATGCATATATCAGAACATCATGTTTACACTGTAAATATATGCAGTTGTCAACTGTGCATTAGTATGAAAATAAAATTCAAAAAGAATTCTTTACCCTGACCAGAAATGGGGCCACCTGAAGAATCTGGGATAATTTTTCTCTTTTTTTAAAATATTTAAGCTGGGCATGGTGGCACACGCCTTTAATCCCAGCACTTGGGAGGCAGAGGCAGGTGGATCTCTGTGAGTTCGAGGCCAGCCTGGTCTACATAGGGAGTTCCAGGTCTGCTGGGGCTTATAGGGAGACCCTGTCCCAAAAAGACCAAAAAAAAAAATTTATCATTTTTATTTTTTGTGTATGAGTGTATTGCTTGCATGTAGGTAGGTGCACCCATGTCCTGCAATGCCCATGGAGGTCAGAAGACAGCTTTGGATTCCTCTGGAACTGGAGTTATGGACAGCTGTTAGCTACCTTGTGGGTGCTGGGAATCAAACCTGGGTCCTCTGCAAGAGCAGTCAGTGCTCTTAACCACTGAACCAGCTCTCTAGCCCCCAGAATCTAGAGTATTGTTAATAACCTAAGCAATACAAGTCTCAAGACTTGTGTTAGTCTTGAGAGATAATGTCTTAAAGTATTAAGATGGTAATCGTGAAAATCCTACTAGCTAGCCTTCATTTGATCAGTTTCATTTTTAAAGTATGTTTCCGCAATACATTTTTCTGGAGTTCAGATTTTAGAAATAGTCTTCCTGTCATTGTCTGTTAGGGTAGAGGGTTTCCCAAACGCGCTTTGCATTTGGGGGCAGATGGTTCTTTGTAAGGGTGGTGGAGGCCTTTCTGTGTGTGCATTCTACGACATTAGCACCCCTGGCCTCTCTGTCCTAGATGCCAGTAGGGCCCCTCCCCATCCCCCAGTGGCCACAGCCTGAAATACATCCAACACTGCTAAATGTTTCTTTGGGGGTAAATTTGCCCCTAGTCTTAGCTTGCCTCACAACCCTCTGAGCCCGTCTGAGGTGTTCAGATCTCTTGAGGAGCCATCTTTCTCTACCTGCCCCTGACACTGACTTTGAGTTTGACATTCAAACAAGCATGTTTTATCTTATTTGTGCAGTAGTATTTTTTTCTTACTAGGCAGTATGCAAATACTAATCATGAACATTTTTGAGCCCTTTATGATCCAAGCCTTTGAAATGAAATTTTTTTTTTTTCCATTTCAAACTCTTGATGCCCATGAGGGAGGTACTGTGTTGATCTGTTTTCCAGATGAGAACACTAGGGCTGACTTCACAGGCTCTCATGGAGCAGCAGATGTTGGAGCCAGGATTCCTTCTTTGTTCTCTGGGCATAGCCCTGTTCTTGATCACTGTTCCTCATTTCTATGTAAGATGAAAGGAAAGGGAACTTTTTTTTTGTCTTTTGAGACAGGGTCTTCCTGTAGCCCCATCTGGCGTAGTACTCACTGTGTAGACCAGACTGGCCTGGAACTCAGAGATCCGCCTGTCTCTGCGTCCCAAGTGCTGGGATTAAAGGTGTGTGCCACCATGCCTGGCGAGAACCCAATTTTAAATATATCTGTATTTCAAAAGTGTGGAGTCCAAACTTGAATCCCTAGCAACCTCCTCGTTTGTTCATAGTCCCATGAACTCAAAAGTCACGAATCTAGAAAATACTAATTTGGAACATTGGAAATACTGTTACCTAACGTAAGTGGAACTGCTTAGTTGAAAATACTGGTTAAAACAGGGAATTGTCAAAGTATACATACCTGAAATATTTTACTTTCCTTAAAACAAAAATGCATTTGCTTTTGTAAGTCCAAGTGCTTTTCTGTGATAGTAATTGAACTGTTTTGAATTCTACTTTGTATTAATCGTGTACACTACAAGAGTAAAACTATAGAACGAGTGAAGTCCTTTCCACACCATCTTTCACAAATTCCCTCATTTTTTTGTAGCTGTCATGCCCACATCTAACCCACAGCTTTCTTGTTGGTGACTTGCTTTCAGTAAGTCTTTCTAAAGCCATCAATTTAGTTTTCATAGAAACTATATTTATCTTTTGTCCTCATATTTAGTCAGCTTTCATAATTGAAATAAATCAGCTGGCTTCAGGAGGTCTGGGAAGATACAGTGGACTCTGCTGCCAGCCTGAAGTCTAGCTGGTGGGGGCAGAAAGCCTGTGTGACACTAGAGGTAGCCAGCCTGGGCCAGTGGCCCTTGTCAGCCTGGTGTGGGAAACAATGAGCAGCAGTTCATCTAGGAACAGTCCAAGAAAAGTCTCAGTGCCTGCTTTCCTAGCTCTCTTTAGGCCACACAGCTCAGAATTTTCTAGACATTCGTCACATTTTTCATAATTACTGCAAATGGGGACTCTAAATAATAATATATGAAGCAGAAATTAAGTTCCTTGAAAGTATAGCTGTATATTTAAAAATTAATGATATCTATAGTATAATGGCATAAAATATAATTGATAATAATTGTATCTTAACAGTTTTAACAGATAGCTTTGACTCAGTGAGATTTGTGCTAATTCTTTCCCCCAATTCTTTTGTTAGCAGAGAACAGTGCTGTCAAGAGGAATTTACCCCAAGCACCAGGGCCTAGCACCAAGTTGTAGCACCTCTAATATGGCTGTTACCTTACCTTTTTCAGCTCTAGTTTCAATTCTGCTGTTGAATGTGTTCCTGACTTCACTGTGGCTAAATCTGCAGGGATAATTATTACTGTCACTTTTTACGTTACTAAATAAAGTACAGTCTTCAGTTAGGATCGTGTGTAAAATTTAATCATGTTCAACTGATGAAACTATTACCACTTTATTATTATATTGCTTTTATAAACAGTCTTTTGTAGCCAGGCATGGTAGTGCACACCTGTAACCTTCACACTTGCAAGGCAGAGGCAGGTGAATCTCTCTGAGTTCTAGGTCAGCCAGGACTACATACTGAGACCCTGTTTCAAAGAAAATAAAACAAAACAAAACCCATTATTATTTTTTAGATTTAGACTTTAGAGGATATTTGTCTCCAACATAAAAGCCACTTGTACCAGACAAATGCTGGGCCAGTAGAGGAACCCCACTAGCCCCTTGGCTTTCACCTGTTAAAATAAGGGGCACACTTTTGATGCTTTTCCTTACAGTCCTTTCTCTTGACATTTTTCACCCAGGATGAAATGGCAGTAACAATATAGTCGACATCTACTTAATGCCTCCTCACTTCGTGTCCTATAAGGACACTGACATAGATGGACCTGTCATTGTGACCGAAGTCCAAGTGGTGGTACTATATAGGCTGGGCAGAAGGGTAGATTTAATTTGCTTATCCTTCTTTGAAAACGTTCGCATTTTATATTTAGTTTTTCTGTGGTTATTAAAGTGCCAGGGAGATTTGAGAGTAGCAAATATTGAGTTATAAAAGAGTGAACTTACTTTGCTGCCCTTAGCTAGCAGAGCTTGTTAGGAGAGGACTCTACCAGTGGCTGCAGGTGGTTTCAGCTTTTCACCCAGTGTGCCATTGAGGCACACATATTCTAGAGTACCTTTAGTGGAAGGTACAGGTGTGCATGGTTGTTTGGAGGTGCCATTTATTGAGCCATTGATCAGTTATCAAGGGTCTTGTGCCGGGAGTTGTTATTAATGGTACTGTGATAAGGCATTTTTCCCTGTTGCTCAGTGGGCAGGAGAAACTGCTA